TTCCTTCTTCTTTCTTCTTTAAAAGACTATATAGTAGAATCCACCCTTGAATTCACAATCCCCCTACCTCAGTCTCCCAGTTGCTGGAATTATCCGCAGGAGTGTGCTCAGAACTTTCCTTTGATCCAAGTTAGAAAATCTCAGCCATAAACAATTGGGATTAGTGGTGAACATTAGTATGTGGGACTCACTTTGGGAACCACTCATGTTTGGCAGACATTCAACCAGTAAGCTACATCTTCATCCCTTGGGGACCACCGGTGTAAACTTATAAATTTTGTTACTTCTTTGTGAACTGAGAGTTGTATCTCCAGGGTTTTATTAGTAAATTATATACTGTTATTCCTTGTATGCATTTTTTGTTTGTTTGTTTTGGTGGGTTTTGGTTTTGGTTTTAGTTTTTGAGGCAGTGTCTACTATGTAACCAAAGCTGACCTTGAATTTATAATAATGCTCCTGCAGTGGCCTTCCATTTTCTGGGATCACAGATGACCCTATCTCTACTCCCTCTTCACTCCCCAGAGCTGGGATTACAGGTGCACAACCATGCCTGGCTTTTTACATGGGTTCCAGATGTCTGAACTAAGGTCCTCATGTTTGTTCAACAAGCATTTGTAAGAAGTGATGCCATTTCATTGTGTCAGTTTTCTTTTAAACATGTTTTAAATGGTTGGTTTCTATACTTTCACTGCTTTCCAGATTGGGCAGCATCATTTTCCCCCCTAGTAACACAAGTCCAATTTTCAGAAAGTTAGTGGAAAAATTAGTTCTTTACAGTTAACATTGTTAGAGTGTGTAGTCTGTTAAAAGAGAAATGCAAAGAACTTTGGAACTTCAGCAAAAGGAGCAGTACATGCATCGCATCTGGCCATTTAGGAATCTGCTTCAAGGGCATGCACACGTCTGCCCACTGATGACCAGTGCTCTGCAGTGATCACCAGTTCAATTACTAAAATGAGTAACTGGAGATTTCTTCTTCTCCATAAATTCCTTCACCCTGGTGAATAATGAGAGTATTCCGTGGCCTTTTCTATCTATGTATCTTATTTCAGAAATACTGAGGATTTTTCTGTGTGTATTCCAAAACAAACATGTATTTGATTGTCAGCAAGGAAATTTCTTGATTAATAATACCAAGTTGAGAGTATTAACAAAGTGCTAGGGTATCTTGGCACTTCTGTGACCATGTGTCCTTCTCTCCTGTCTGGAGCACACCAGCTGTGCAAATGCATGCTTGCTTTCCCCATTCAGCTTTTGTCTGGAATCACCTATCATTTTCTAGTCGTACCTCCCCTATTTCACTTATACCAACACATCAGTTGATGAGTTACCTTCTTTCTAAGTCAGCCAATTTCTGCAGTTGCCTACATTTGGAGTAGGTTGTTGAATGCCTTGATTAAGATGGATGCCTGATGTTCAAAGAAAGATTATTAGGGATGAAAGATGTTGAGAAAATAAACGTGAGCCAATAATTCTTTCTTTATACAGGGAGAAAACAAAGCAAATCCATAGGGCACACAACCCAGCCGCTGTTCTCATTAAGCACACTTCTGTGGGATCTTGTGTCAATGAAGGGGAACTTTCTTAGAGGAAAGCCAACATTTCTGGTGTGACTCTGTGGTCCTTGGGGCGCTGCACCCACACCCATAGTTGGGATAGTTTTTGCTGGTGGTGTATAGCTGCATCAATTGCCCCTGGAAAAGAACTCTCAACTTCATTGCAGGATGTTTTTTGTAAGAAGCACAGTCTAAGACTATTACACAGTTCTGTCTTAAATATAATTTGAAGAACTATGTACCTAATAGCAACCTGGTATCTTCTTGCTAATAATTACTGATTATAGGTATAAATTAGCATAAATTTTCTTGTTTCAAATTTAAGTTAAAAAACACCTTAATCTCTACTTATTTTTTTCCTTTAAAATTAAGAGTTATTTTCCAAATGCAAATTGGTTTGCTAGACTTAGTGGCTCATTGGGGCTTCAAAATCAACTGATAAGAGCAGCAAACTCTTTTCTGTCTGTTGTTGTGCATGGGAAATGAAGAGTGAAACCTTTACACAGTGATTAGGAATTAGAGCTCTTTTCTTGCCATGGTAATTTTCTTGCCCTGATGGTAATTTTTTCCACGAATCTGGTTTCTTTGTGCCAGGTAACTTTGGTGCTTATGTATATTTATCCTCAGTTACTAGAGTGAGCTTCTAAATTTGATGACAAAGACTATTTTGGAGGCATATTCTCCAAAATAGTGGAAAGCTTTTAAAACATATTTCAAGCATTGAAACCACTTGGTTATGTTACCTATTTTACTCTTTTACTATTGGGTGGTAAAATATCAATAATCTTTTCCAAAGACTAGTAGAAAAAAAAATTGAAACTAGCTAGATCAATAGTTTTCTTCTTAAAATTTCCAAAAGAGAATGAGATTTTTGCTCTAGAGAAAAGGTCAGGAAAGTCAGTCTTTGGGCTGGCAGCTCCAGCAGAGTCCTGGGTCAGATTTGTCACCTCGGGGTTTGGCTCCATAGTTATGAACTATGTGCACACTGTTTCTTTTCCTGAGTATTTGCATTCAGCTGCATGAGGTGTTGTAATATTAGCCATTTCTCTGGTTACTTACTGCTTCAGACCACCCAAACAGAACAGACCATGACTTGGCCTTGTTTCATAGGCAGACAGAATGATGCCTTTTGGTTAGTGCTCGCTGAAGTCCCCACAATGGACATCAGTGAGAGTCTTTTTCTAGTTTTATTCTCAAATTTAGGGGCAAGTTTACCTGGATGTTTAATGTTAGGCAACACCCTCTTTTATCCAGTCTTCCCTCAAGTTCTGCTGCAGTCTAGCATTTCAGTTCAAATACCCCTCTGCTTTCAACAAAGTGCTCCTTTGTTTTTTCTACATTTTTCTAAACCCATATTAATAGTCTTGATGTAGTTGGGGACTTGGATGGGCCTATCTTAAAGCAAAATTTAAAAATAAACCTATTGTTCCTTCAGTCTTGGAGGTGGAACATTCCTAGGTCTATGTTGCTTGCTGACTGGTTGTGAGACCTTTGAAGAAGCTCTGGAAATGGCAGCTAAAGGTGACAGCACCAATGTTGATAAGCTGGTGAAGGACATTTACGGAGGAGACTATGAACGATTTGGCCTTCAAGGATCTGCTGTGGCATCAAGGTAGTGACTGAGCGGCTAGGAACTGTAGAGAATCAGGCAGCCTCTCCACCCTGGCCATTCATCAGTTTTCTCTTTAAATACCAACTTAATAGTCTGGTGCAAGTAGCTATCATATCAGATCTCAGATTTGATCTCTGTCCTTAAGAAACACTGAGGTGTTTAGCACTAATGCTTGTACTTAAAGTAAGGCAACTTTGAAAGAAGGTTTTGGAAAACTGCCAAAGTTTCCCCTGTTCCATTCTCGTCTAGATATCTGAAACATTAACTGTTTCTCCCCATTAATAGTCATTGTATTTTGTCCCTTAGTCAGAAAGGGGCACCAACCATCCATACTGTAATCCTGTCTGCTTATAAACCATGGAATCAAAGTCAGGTCATTTGAGTTTGAAAAGAATTATTCATAGAGCTTCCCAACTTACTTTGGTGGAAGCATGGGTCCTGCCTGAGGATGATGTTGAATATTCTCACTAATATTTCCAACATAGCTTTGGCAACATGATGAGTAAAGAAAAGAGAGAGTCCATCAGCAAGGAAGACCTCGCCCGGGCCACACTGGTCACCATCACCAACAACATTGGCTCCATTGCTCGGATGTGTGCACTGAATGAGGTAAGGCTTTAATCCAGAGACATCCGTGGACCATTCCCATGCATTGTCTTCGGTGATGCAATGACTGTTGACTCTTGCAAAGCTATATATCCTGAGGAAACCTGCCCTTCATTAGGTGGTCATACCTTTGAGAACAGAAGGGTGCAGGCAGTGAGGGAGGGAGAAGAGAATCTGTTTTATTTTTATTTTTTTGGTCTTTTTGAGACAGGGTCTTGCTGTAGCCCCAGCTGTACTGGAACTCACTATGTAGACCAGGCTGGTCTTGAACTCATAGAGATCTGCCTGCCTCTGCCTCCCAAGTGCTGTTTTATTTTTAAATAGACACGGGATAGTAACAAATGATAAGATACCCCACTATGGAAACATGGTAAAATTCCAGTCCACACCATGGCCTCTAACCATCATTACTGCCGCTGAAATGTGAGGAAAAACTCTGAGTGTACTTGCAAATAGTTGCACGTAAAACTGCTTCCACTGCGACCTTCGGAATTCTCTCTGCTTTCAGCTTCTTTACAGTGTTGCCTTGTGGCATGGAGTTCAAGCAGCATTGTACAGGGCTATCAAAGCACAGAGAGCTTGCTACAGCCAAGGCCATCCAGAACCCCAGGCACAAGGAGGGGTAGAGCTGGGGACAGACAAAGCTTTATTAGCAAGTTTGGAAAGAATGCAAAATTCTTTGGGGAAAAAAAATGGAAACCTTTTCTGAGGAACAAGATTTGAGAAATACAACAATTCCCTCTCTCTCTGAGATGTGATAGGAAGGTGACTGAAAGAAGGCAGGGCATGGAGATAGCAGGGGAAGGTATTTAAGAGCCATATAGGTCAGGAGAAGACTGGGTTTTGTTGTTGTTCTGTTTTGTGTTTTGAGACAGGGTCTTCCTGTAGCCCCAGTCTGGAACTCACTATCTAGCCCAGGCTGGCCTTGATCTCACAGAGATTCCCCTGCCCCTGCCTCCCAAGTGCTGGAATTAAAGGCCTGCACTACCATGCCTGGCAAGTAGTGGAGTTTTTAAGTATGTAATTTTTTTAACAGAAAAATGGCATGTGTACAAAAGAGAGCT